ATTGAATCCTTAATTGGTGCATTCTAAAAGTCAAAATAGATTATTGGAAATGCCCTGTAATTTTTAAAAGTGTTAGGAACAATGGGAATTTTTATGCAAAACCAATTTAATTTCTGTATAGCCAAAAAACTAATAACCATGTATACTTTAAATTTTCYAATTCTATATAAAATCAAGTATCGTAAAAAATTTAAATTCAAACTCTCATAACACTTAATGTTACTTTCCAGTGAACTTTTTTTTTAGTTAAAAAAAATTGTTAGGAAAATTTTATCATGTTAACTATGAAAAAAAAATTCTTAAATTTGTAACTGAAAAATAATTTGAGAACTTTAAATACTTATAATTCATAAACTACTCGTCTTAAATTCGATTTTTATGAGTCAAAATACTTAGAAAAATATTCTGCTTTGGAATATAAAATTAAAACTATGTTATCATTTAAAAAAGTAAAAAACTTAAAAAATGATAAGGATAAAAAATATTAAAAAATATAATTYTTTAATAAAAACGTTTGTTTTTTAATAACTTGAAACWATGTRAAAAAATATTTTGAAAAAATTCAATAATTTTTTAAATAATGAGTGTTCTTCGATAAAAAAATCACCCTGTATATATTATTTTTATAAATTATTATCACTTTGCATAATATATATTTTTTTTTTTCAGAAAAAAGAATTAAATTGTCTTGTTTAAATACTGCTCAAAATCTCATCTCTGACATTGATTCRCAAAATGAAAATTTTATTTCTCTAGCTAAACGCCTTATTGAAATTAAAAAAGAAAATTCTAGCGAAACAACTGATTATGGTAATTTTTGTACAATTAAAAATTAAGTTTTAAATTTGTATGTGATATATTGTGTTCTTATAGATAACTTAAATGATACAAGTTCAGAAATTAGTAGTGTATCGTCTTATCGCACATCAAGGTATTAATTATATATTAACTATAATACTACAGTAACTTATTTCTCATTATTCATTACTTTAATTTTTAGCACTCGAACCAGTTGTAGAAGCGCCCGTAAACAACAACGTAAAATGTGGAATTTGAAAAAAGGCAATTTTCGAGAAGAACCCACTATAATTTTGACTTTGAAACAAATTATTGAAAAGCTTGACAGTTTAATAGGTAATTTATTAAAGTTTAATTATTTTTATATTAAAAGGATCAACCCATTATTAGTATTATTTATGGCCTAAGTTTAATATAGACAAAATGCATTCRTGCAATATCATTTGCTTTTAAATTTTTGAATTATCTTAATAAAGTCACCCCTTGCGGAAATTATAGAGAATAATATTTGTAAGTGTTTAGTATATCAATTTGTTGAATATTGTAAAAAAAAATTTTTTTTTAATTGTTTTTATTTTTTTAAGTCAAATAATAATAAAATATTTAACTGATATGTCAAACCCTCACAAATATTATTCTTTATCATTTTTTCAATAGCCAATTTTACTTTGATAAATTACTATAGAAGATAACTCAAAAATCATAAAATAGCAATTTTACATAAATGTGTTTTGTCTGTGAAAGAAGCTAAATATTATACTGACATTMTTTTAAGASTATGCATCAGTAAACAATAAAATATGAAATTGTTGACAACTTGCACATATTTTAAAATAGTAAAAATGTATTTCATTAACTGTGATTACATTGAAAGTAAGGTATTTAGGAATCATTTGATAGATCATTAAGAACAATATTATCAGTATTTTTTTAGTATTTTGATTTTTAGGAAAGTGATAGCTATTTATTATTTAAATTTTCAGTTAGATATTGCAACAAAAAAATAGTTTTATAAAGAAATCACAAATGTTTTCCTTAATAATTTTTATAAACAGTTCTTTTCTTTTCCCTTCATTCCCAACTATGTGAGTTTGGCCTTACTTCAACTCTGGTCTTCCTCTCCCTCTCTTTTTACATTTATTTCCATAACACCTCGGTCTTACCGCCTTTGAGTCTTCTCTCCGCGATAGTTGTAATCTGTTCTAATACCGTAGTTTCAACAATCTAATCCCAATAAGTTAAAAACAAGATATGTTTTAACTATATTATATATTTATATGTGTGTATAACAGAAAAAATTTWAATTTGTTTGCCCTCTTAAATTAAATATAATAAAAATGGTATTATTTTTTTTTATATAGATAATGTAAAATCTATATGTTTCTTACTTGTGAGATTTGAAGAATTTGATATTGGTCACACTTTACAAATGACATTGGAATCCTTTCAAAATTCTATTCTTCATCACAAATCAACTGTATGGCCAATTTTCGTAAGTTTTTTAAAATTCTATATTATTGATTATTAATAAAATAACCATAGCTAAATGTGAATTATTATTATATTTTTAGAATGAAACTGAACAAATTATAGAAGGTAACTAATAATACAATTTTAAATAAAATATCAAAAATAGAGAATATTGATTTAATGAATACCTATATAAATATGTGTATAATCTGTTTTCAGATGCAATTCTACTCAGTCCATTAAAAATAACAACTGACCAAAAATGGAAACTTAGTATTTTAGAATAAAAAATTGCCATAATATTTTGTTTATTTATGTGTATATATTTCAATAATATTTTGTTTTTCTTAAAAAATATACACAAAAAAAATAAATATCTAACCTGTATAATATTTTATATTATTATTTGATATTTAACATTTCAAGTTTATTTGTTGCATTTGTTGCACAAACTCGGCTTATTTTGAAGGGAAGAATATTTAAAAATGTTATAGATCCCAATATTTATTTTATTTAAATATTGTAATAAATACTTCATAGGAGGTACCAAAGTGGTAATTTCTAAAATATGGATGAAAACTTCCTTGTATAATTTTTTCAAATGATTATCTATATTATGAATTTCTTGTGCTTCTTCAGATAGTTTAATTAAAATGAATGAATTAAAATTTAGATTTAGATAAACTTTTGCAATATACATATATTGTAAGTATTCCTACCTGGTTATCTACTTATTACTTTTTGATGTATTTTATTAGAATTACAAAACGCATCTCAGTCAAAAAAAAAAACTTGCAGATATTATGCATGTATGGATTCTTGTAAATCATGAGRATAAGAAAGAAAGTAAGCTGGGAACTAATAAATCGAGTTAAACTCATAGAAATATAAAAAATATGAAATATGAATACTTATAGGTAAGCTCAATTCTATTTTTAAGATTAC